TCAGAAGGGCTTAAAAGCAGAGTGCCATGCCCTGGGCTATCATAACCCTTAACAGTGGTGGTGGCAGCGCCTTGCGGCCCTGCAATGCCTGATCCACATGTTGCTATTCGAATGGAAATGCCACAGCACTTGCAGTGCCCATTTAGACCCCCCTAGTCCATGGTGTGCATATAGTTCTACTTGATTTAGGAGTCTAGGACCTATTTTCCAGCATTAATTTAGAGTTTAGGCATTTCAAAGATTTGATTCATGATATTACAGGGATTGAAAACATTGCCTCCTTCCTGGTGTCAGATACCTCTACCCTTGTCTGAGAAACAGCAGAATAGAAGGTGTACCAGCATTTCAGCCCGTGTGATTCACAACTTGTCCGATTAGTAGGAACAGGCATGGTTTTCTGTTTACATTGATATGTCAGGATGTAAACTGCTGCTGAGGCTGTGGACTTTGAGCTGTTATCAGCTGATAGATCTAGCTCAAGGTAACCACATATACTATTTTGCCAAAGTAAAAAAACCCACCACCTTTATAACATTCCATGTCTCCAATTGTCTTGTTGGCATGAATGCATCAATGCAAGAAAGATTTGTAGGACCACGTTTATTCATCTTATTGGGATTACAAGCTCCTGGTACTTACAAACATACTGCAAAGAATAGGACCTGGTCTTTACGTATCTGATAAGGCATTTATATTGTCTTATTGTTAAAGTGGTACAAACAGATAATATTTGATCTGGCATGAAGATGCCCAGTATGAAGTTATTACCTTTAAATTACTTGAGTAAGCCTGAACTGTCAGAACAAAGTTATATAGCATCAGCACCATGTGTTATGTGGTGGCAGCTATTTTTGGGTCCATTCTAGGAGCCCTAGTGATAGGAGACAGTGTTTCAGCAAAGCCCAGCATGAACTTCATGGTTTAGATGAACAAAGAGCAAGCAAGAACCTGGCCCAAACTGCTGTCACTCAGAGAACGAATGCAATATTGTTTCCCATGTATCTGTTGTGCCTCTTTTTTCCTAGTCAACCAATAAACGCCATCATCATGGCTTTGATGCAGACCAAGATGCCAAGAAAATATATAGTGCCTGCAAAGGAGCGGGTAAGAAAGCTCTTGTTTTTTATACAAAGGTCAATTCAATATTATAGACGATATACATAAACTTAGGCCAAAACAGCTGTTCCAACAAGTTTCAGGTAGTGCTTGTGCTTTCTGTCACTTACTGACTCAAAGAATAAATGGGAAGGGAAGCCAGCTTGTTGCTCAAAGACTGGTAGGATCTGTTTTGCCAATTCTTTGGCTCCAGGGAACTGGGATAAACATGATATTTGCTCCCTGTAATAGGAACATCAAGCTGTCAACCCTGATATGACAGTCATGGGGTCCAGCTAGTCAGGTTGGACAAAGGTCATGGTTATACGTCCTTACCTATGAGATGAGTCATGGCACAAAGCCCAGTAAGTGGATGAAATAGATGGAAGAGCACTAGGAGAGCATGGCTCAGTGTCCACCAGCTTGACATGCATGCATGAGCAGACCTGGCATACGGCTTGATGCCTGTGATCTGCCACCTAAGCCCTGATTATGGTATGGGCATTTTGGCAGTGCCCATCACACGCAAGGTCATAGGCCTCTCCTGATACACATTCTCCATTTCAATACTTGAAGAAGTAATGCCTGAGACAAGCTGCTGGCCCTTAGCTGGAAGTGCACAAGGACACGTGTGTTAATGCAATAGCTACTCTATTGTGTCTTTTGAGCATCCAAGTAACATCTCTGTGGTCCTGTCCCTTTAGTCACAAACAGAACGAATGCCTTCCAGTAGCTTTGTTCAGTGCAAACATCTGTTTATATGGCTGAGGGCAAGAAAAAGTACAAGACCAATGTCATTGCCCTTAGTAAGCTTCTTTCATCTATTGTGTAAGTTACAGGCCAAAGCTGCCCCGAGGCTTTCTGCTGGAGGGACATTGCATGTTCAGCTCCCCCATGGGTTCCCAGGAGGTGCAGCTGCTGTGGTGCTCATCACTGGGGCATCCCATGTTCCCACTTTACTCTCACTTATGTTTGCCGAGAAAAACTGCATCAACAGAGACCCAGACCATGAAGACTGGCTTCTACTCCTCTTTCTGACTCCATTTAGTGCAAAGCACAACCCATTTTGTACAGGCTGTACATTCAGGCTGTGGGTGAATGAAACTGATTTAAACACATCCTTACCAACCTAAAATATGAGCAACACAAGATGGTGAACTTTTATTTTATGGTCTGGACACTGTAGCTGACTACAGTTAAGTATATCCTCAAAATAATCTGAGATGCTACAAATCCTAAAGTTGGCAGCAGCAAGGATGTATGTATAGCAATTTTTTTCTCTTTAGACATCATGTTTTCTTTCCTCTGCATTAGATTCCTGGTTAAATAATTCCTATGCACAATTTCTTTTTCAGGAACTAATGAAAAGAAAATTATTGAAGTCTTGTCAATTCGAACATCAGAGCAGAGACAACAAATAAAACAGAAGTACAAGGCTCTATATAACAAGGTATTTTGAAATAAATGGTCTCCCTGTTTCAAACTGCATGCCTGATAAAAATACAGCCTACAGGACCCTGCTTTTGAAAATATCAATGACACAGTGGGTTTAAGGAGAACACCAGTTAGTTTCTGATTCAGCAATTTACTTTATCTCCTAAAATACTGATTATATTTCTAGTCTTGGGCCCCAGAGTCTTCTTGAGTCAACCTTAACCAGATCAGAATGTTTTAATCAAAGTTGGGAGAGCTAGAAAACAATTAACTGAAATAAAAAATATTTCAGCTTGGGATCATCTTCAGCACATTCAGAAACAAGAATTAATGTAAAAGGGAAATTTTAAGTCAGAATCTCTCTCAGACCAGTTGCAAATTCAGAGGAACTATTTGATCTTACATCACTATATTTTTGTTGAGTTTAATAGATGTAGTATTGGTTTCTTCCAGTGATGAAGTAAAATACACTGAGAAGTCTCACTGGGTGCTTGATTTCTGGAGGGGGAAACATAAACTGCCTTAATGATTTTGTGTCTAAGAAAAATAAAGCTTCCAACAAGAAAAATAAAGCTTCCAATATTTTGTTTAGGTAAACACCTGAATCCTGCAGAACGTGTTATGAACTTGGCATTTTCTTAAGGCCTTCTCGCTCATTAGTCATTAATCAGTGTTAATAGGACAGGCAGCACTGAACCTGAAAGCCTTCTATATGTAAAACTTACTGCAAGCACGATAACAATTTTGGTAAATAGTACAGATTTAGTTCTATAGTGAGGATTAATAAAAATAGGTATTAGAAATGAGCAAATGCCATGAAACATCGCAGTTACATCAGCATGTAGCAACCCTTCTCACTTGCCTGGGCAGCCTGAATCTCTTGGGAAGGGGCTGCAAGTTGTGCCATTTCACTCTCCTGCTGCTCCAGGTTCACAGTGCATGTGTTGAAACTGCTCCAACACCGATGCCAGCCTCTGAATTGAATAGATGGAGTGTTCACTTGAGATTGTGCAAGAGGCTGTTTAAGAACAACAGATTTGGAGCTGAGCTTCTCAGTTGTCCCGAACTTGTCAAGCACTTCCCCTACTACAGGAAATGTTAGCTGCAGATAGGGCTTCAGATAGATCATCAGTAGGCATCCTTCTCAGTGCACATCCACCGGCTAGTTCTTCTCCGAGGTCTTACTGAATTTTGAAGGTGGATTTTTTTATTTTTGGTGAAAAAAAAATGCTGATTGCTTGGCACCAAAGCACTTTGTAGAATTTTGTTGCTTTTCCCAGCAAGTCAATTTTAACCAAAACTGGATGATAAGTTTAATAAGTTTAATCTTTTCTGTTGCAACTCTTTTGAAGCAGAAAGTTTCTGCATTGTGTTTCAGAGTAAACTCTCCTGTTAAGCTCTTAAAAACACTAGACTGCATTTATTTAAACAAGTAAGAGTCAAAACTGGACTGATATTGGATGGTATTTGAAGATGGGACAGTAAATTCATTCAGTATAAAACAAAAAAAATTAGGGAATTTATTTTACAATGTATTTAAAGCCTTTTTATGTTTTTGTTCCTTTTTGGCACAGAAGAAGCTTTGAAATAATGACATTCCCTGAAATAAATAAACTCTTCTCTAATCCCAGCTCAGCTTTTGCACTAAGTCTTCTGACTGTCCCTGCAGGATATGGAAGAGGACCTGAAGGGAGACCTGAGTGGGAGTTTCGAAAAGGCTGTGCTGGCTCTGTTGGACCTGCCCTGCGAGTATGAGGCCCGAGAGCTTCAGAAGGCAATGAAAGGCCTTGGGACGAATGAGTCGCTGCTGATCGAGATTCTCTGCACACGAAACAATAAGGTTGGGACACCCCAGTAGTTTTTATGCATGATCTTCCTTTGGTAGCAGGGCAAAGAGCTCACCAAGAGCATTCCCCTGGGAGGAGGTTGAGGGATCAGATCAACTTCCATGACTGAGATGCCTGTTGTCAGTGGCTGCAGATGTAAGGTTGCCATACCAGGGCTGAAACTCTTGCAGGAATTAAGAGCAATAAGAGCTGTTTTATTCATATTCCTTCCTTGGTCCTACTCATACCTCCTGTGGATGGCAAAGAAGCATCACCAATGACAGAGGAAGCCCCAAATGCCTGTTTAAAGGCAGCTTTGGCACAGCTCTGACTGTTCAGACATGGCTCCTGCCAGGTACAGGAACGCATCCCTCTTCAAAAAGCTCTGTAGCTTATGCCTAAACGTAAGTGAAGCCAGAGGGACACCTCCAGAAGTCGGGTTTCCATCGAGGTGCTGTCCTGAACCGGGCTGGGTTTGCACCATTTCTCTGTGCCCTGAAGAGGGAATGGGAATTTGGCTTCTCCTGCCTCCACACGTGCTAGGCCTCAAGCAACACAGGCATGGTACTGACTTGCTGGGGTTTTTTTTGCTTACTTATTATTAATTAATAACATGTATTTATTTATAAACATTATTCCTTGTTTATTTATTAATGTGCTTGTTTATTTTATTTTTATTTGCCTAGGAAATCGTAAACATAAAGGAGGCATACAAACGGCGTAAGTAGAATTGTCTTACAAAGACTTTCATTTAAAGCCTTTATCGCTGAGTGAACTCTCACAGATTTTTTATTTTCTCCACAGTCTTTGATAGGGATCTAGTGTCTGATGTTGAAAGTGAGACAAGTGGCTTCCTACGGAAGATATTAGTCACCTTACTAGAGGTAAGGCTGGAGGCTTTCCTTTTATGCATCTACCTGGTAGAGATTTCCATTTCTCTATCCTGTCTACCCTAGGTAATCATTGTACGTATTAGCTGGTATTTATAATAATGTAATTATGATATGTAATATAATAATGAGGTAATTATAATAAACAAAAGGCATTCTTCAGGACACATGCCTTCTGTATCTATAGAAGTAATTTTATAAATTGAAGAAAGCAGCATTGTTTTATTATTGTTTATACCATGGCAATGGTTAGAATACCCATTCAAGATCATGGCTACGTTATGCCAAATTCTACCCCAAACAAGCAAAATCTGATTTCCATCTCAGCTGAGGAATTTACAATTCAGATAGATGCAGAAAAAATAAGAAAGAGATTGCTGTTATGTTAGTTTTCCATACACTAAAATATCACATTTTCCATTAGAACGCATTTTTTTTAAACCACCTACATGAAATAAAGAAAAGAATATCTCCATAAATAGTGTAACTAAGAAGATTAGGCTCACACCTAGAAATGCAATGTGGTGACCAGTCTGATGAGACAGCCCTGAGAAATGAAAAGATTCAATAAACAGAAGAAGCTTTAAAGCCCTAACAGTCACATTGCTAAATACACTGCAGTTAGATTCCCATTCTGGAAAGCATTGATACAGCTCTCTTCAACCTCTTTGGGTGTATTTTCAGGAATAACAACATCATTATTCATAGATCGTTTTCATAGACTAGTCCTTCATAATTTCTTCCAGGAATTATCGTGTTAGTGAAGCTCGGAGTATAGGGATTAGTCAGGAAAATACTTTGGAGTTACAGGGCATATCCAACACTACAAAAACCTTTAGCACTTCACTGTAAGTACTAGGAACCTTTTTGCAGTAGCTGGATGATGAATACACCAGCAGCTTTCCTAAGAAACCTTATGGTTGGAGCCCAGGGCACTGTACGTAACCAGCAGCTCAGCCCTCCAGGAGTGAAACTAAAGGCCACGTTGGGACGGTCATGCCCCAGCTCTGTCTGCACATCTCCGCCCCGCTCCCACTCCAATGCCTGCCCACTGGGCATGCCACCACTTCCCATCAGTGGAAGAATACCTGCAAAAAGACAGCAGAAACCAGAACAAAAGAAAGATCTACGTGGGAAGGGACCTTTGGAACTCCTCTGGTCTGGCCCTCCTCAAAGCAAGGCTAACTCCAAACTCAGACTAGGTTTTCTTCTGATTTTGCTTTCTGCTCTGGACATGGCTGGCTGGAGGAGGGAGCAGAAACACCCATGGCAAGGATGCTGGGGACAGGGGGGACCAGCCAGAGGGGAGCATCCACAGAGTATGGTCTACTACTGTGCAGCTACCAAGCCCTGATAGTCCCTGCCTGCTCCAGAGGCATCAGAGTTGCAGCCTCATTAGGGTCCCAACACACAACAAATAAAACTGGGAGATAGGCCATAGCATAGAGGCTTCACCTTTAAAGTCAGGAAAACTAGGGGCTGTGGTTCTTGTGAACAGACCGTTTGAAACTGTACCAAGTCTCACCATGCCCCATTACTAGACATTTGTCAGCAGATGGCAGCAAAACTATAGCCAAAATATCTGTGCTGGCCACAAGCTGACAACCTTACCTTCCACTACGAAATGTCACCAGCCGTTGGTCTGTTTGTTTTACTGTCATGTCCTTTCCTGTAGGCAACCCGAGATGAGACCCAACAGGTCAATGCAGAGCTCGCTCAACAAGATGCCACAGATTTGTATGAAGTAAGTGCAGTAGTGGAAAAATCCCCATTTGCCCCACGCTGTGCAGCAAGGGCTGCCTCGGGGATGACTAAACATGCCAAGTATGGGGGCAATGGCAGTGTAAGGAGATGAAGGGAGAGAGTCACAAGCTGGAGCTTGGTGGATCAAGGGCTTTGGCTGACTTTTTGTCTCTACTGTGAGTAAACAAGCACTTCAAAAAAATAACATGCAATCTTTAAGGCAGGAGAAGGCCGCTGGGGAACAGAGGAGCTGGCTTTCAACATTGTCTTAGCAAACAGAAGCTATAGTCAGCTGAGAGCTACTTTTCAAGCCTATGAAAAGGTGAGTTATTCTGTTCTGTGATGTGGGTTTCATAGGGCCTCACATGTAGTTTGTAGACCCTACAACAATATGTAGAGCAGGTGATACTTTGTTTGCTGTTTTAAAACTTCTTGAATGCTTTAAGAATCTTGGAAAATATTTTTATACAACTGGATCCTGCTCTTGTGGAAATAGTGGATAAAAGCTGTATCTTCTGCCAGTAAAGAACCTATTCCCCTTTGTAACCTACACCACATCCAGCCAGATAAATGTCGTGATGTTATTTCCTTCCTACAGCTGCATGACAGCGGGTGTCCTCACTCCTGCAGGAGGACCAGCAAAGGGACAAGTTCACAAACTTCTGCCCTGAAGCAGGGTTTTGCTTTTCTGGTTTTTCCTCTCCTTCTCCAAAGCAAAGCCTGGTGAGGTCTCTCCTCCTCATCCCCCTACTTCACACACTCATATTGGCTGGACAGAGGCACATCTCCAGCCTCTTCCTTTCTGCCCATGCTGAGCAGGCAGCCTGTGCAGGTACTTTGCTGCACTTTCCTCTGTCTCCAAGCATAAGGCAAAGAGACAGCAGGATCCCAGCTGTCAGGTACTTCTCTCTGTGTCACCCACCAGGGATATTTTACTCATGCCTGGGTCTGGAGCTGTCCTCCACTGAGACCTCTCCCCTGGGAATGACCTGAGAAAGTCAAAGCAATGTAAGATCCAAGGTCCTTCTCCTGGCAATGAGGTGAAAGCTCAGCAGAGACATTGATCCTCAGGAAAGTGTCCCCCTTCCAGCCTCTGACTCATAGTCCTAAATTTCCCTAGAATGATTCTGAGTTCATCAGAAAACTGTAACCCTAGGCACTGAAGATGAAAAAACCTCCAGTCAAGGCCATATTTCAGTGTCAGCACAATAAGGAACCCGTAGATGGAAAAATGTTTGCAGCTTAATCCAAGTTTTGGTTTGTTGCTGGCAGGAGAACAAAACCAGTCACTAACTGATACTCTCTCCCTCAGAGTGGACCAAGCCCTGGGGGTTCAGTGGAATGCTCCGATGGCCAAACTACCTTGGCTTTTTGATTCCTAAAGCCAAGTAGATCAGGTTGCCCAAACCAATCCACCACATCCTGTCTGACTGTATTTGACACAGAAGTGGGCCAAGATCAGAGCCATGCAGACATCAGTTCTGTGCATTTGGAAAGATAAATAGGGCCAGATCTAAACCAGGCTGAGGGTTTGCAGAACTTAAGCCCAAATTCTCAGAAGGTAGCCCTTCCTGCCTTATACCCATAGTCTCCCAGCTCCAACCTAAAAGTCCATTAGAGCCTTGAACCATGCAGGGCTGTCTTGGTAGGAAAAACAGAGCAAAGTGAAAGGCTTTGAGGTTCACGGAGTTCACAAAGGTCAGAATAAACTCTGTTTCAAAGTGGCAATCTGTTTTTCCCCTTTCTTACAGAATAATACAAAAACTCGGGAACAACTGCAGTGTTGTAAACTTTCCCTGGGAAGCCAAAGACAATAAGTAACAAAACTTCATAGAGCTGGTAAAGCTCCAAAAATTATCTTATTTGTGTGGGAGCCATCCAGAGCCTTTGATAGAGAGGTCAGAGGAAGCTCGAGCAGTTTCTACTGACTAGGGGGTCACTCAAGAAGAAGCTGCAGCTTCTTTGTCCTAGAAGCCCTCAGATACATGTGATTGCTTGATTTAGGTTATCCATCTCTTAACCATTGTGCCTTGCCTGGCTGCATGGACATTCTTCTCTTGGTACCAGTGGATCTAGGGGCACTTACACCAGAGGAAAACTTCATTTGCCCTTGAGTTACTCCCTCGGAAAGGCTCTAAAGGACCGAATTGGCTTTTTGCCATTGGATACTAAATCTGGTGCTGGTTTATGGCAGTGGGATAACATGCACAGCAGCAGCTCTGATGGCATCTTTTTGTTGTCCTCATAGGTGTGTGGAAAAGACATAGAAGAATCCATTAAAAGTGAAACATCTGGAGATCTGCAGAAGGCTTATCTCACTCTTGGTAAAAACAAGAAAAAATTTCAAGAGCTTTCTTTTCTAATTCTTGCCATCATCTGACATTGGTTGTTGGGGGTCTGCCTGGCAACAGACATCAAGACAGCCCTAACCTGAGCAGACATATCTGCCAGGAAAAGAAGAGACAGATTTCAGTAGTGATTTGGATCCCTTTGTTTTAGAAATAAAACTTGCTAGATACAGCTCCTCTCTTCACAGATAAATTATTTGCCCTCTAACACAGGGTGGCCATCTCCAAACTGCCCCTGAGGCCATGGATGTTGAAAACTTCCAGCAGATGCCTGGGAATCATTGAAAGTGCGCTAGCCAGCCACTACAAAAATGTACAGTGTCCTCGACAGCAATTTAGCATTGGGGATGACTGTGACCAGTATCTAAGCCTGTGCCCAGGCTCTGCTTATCTTAGTGGTATCACTGTTATCCATCTGGAACTGGGCTCACCCAGATCTTGCCCCTGTGAGCTGTGAAGTGAGCAGCTACCCCAGGAATAGTTGGGCAAGAGGAACTCCAGAGGAGCAAATGCTTGTTCTCATTCATTTCATTTTCACTGTGGAATGGCAGAGTACACAGTGCTGAACGTTTCACTGTGTAACATGCTTTCCTGTGGAGAAATGTACAACCCCATTCAGCCTCCAAGCCTTCTCCTTGCATACTGATAGGGGACCAGTCACAGAATGAAAGCTCTACCAGTTCATATGTGTGACTGAACATAAACCCTAGAGATTTTCCTTTATTTCTTCCTTATTTATTTCTTTCTCATTGAAGATGTATCACAAAGAGTAATATACAAGTATAATGAAGCCTCTTACTGTTTTCTGTAGTCAGCTGTGCCAAAGACTGCCCAGGTTACTTCGCTACACTTCTACACAAGTCGATGAAAGGAGCTGGGACTGATGAAGACACCTTGATTCGCATCCTTGTGACTAGGGCTGAGGTAGGGTACCCTTCCACCTGTAATACCTCACATCAGCTCTGGAAGAAATACGAATGGGGAGGGTATGGAATGAGTCCTGGTAGATCGTGTGCTCAGTCAACCCATTTCAGCCCAATGGCATCGGCGGTCACGCTCTGCTTTTGTACCCAGGCAACTGTAATTTTGATATTGCCTCTATTTCTGTTTTCAAAAGAAATAAACCAGAAAGCATGCAGGCAATTTTGAGTGAAGTCAACTGTACCTGGTTAAAGCTAGCCCATGGGAAGGTCTGGCCCCAAAAGGATGTTAAAAGTAATTTTCTCGTTAAGTAATGATAAAGCAGCCGTTCCCAAATTGAGAATTGCTTACAAACATATGTTGCCAATTCTTTCTGATTCCAGCTGGGAAAAACAGATGGAGAGGAGGGAATTAAAATAAAGAGCCAAAGGAGATAATTGTCATTTTAAAAAGCACAAAAATGCACAAGACATTTGAGATCTTAAACACAGTCTTTAAGTCTTCCTTCCTTGTAAGCTGTGTAGGTTGTAACCACAGGGCTGTTTCAGTCTTGACAGAGAGGAGGAGTCGTTCACAGAGACAAGGAGAACATATTTCTCAATCATTGGCAGTGTGAGGAATTAGTCTCCAGGGTAGTCCCTCTGTTAAGACACGGTCCAATCACGATAACATTTAAAACTATCACTCTAAAAGTGATAAAGATCAGAACCATGCCATGAAGGCCTTTTCACGGTAAAACTCAAGACAAGCATTTAATTATGCCCCTGTAGTAACCAGAAAATTACTTCAGTGGGTGGAACAAAACTCTCTTTTAGCCATACCCTTGGAAGTGCCCCTTTCCCTTATTGCCACCACGGAGTGGCCTCAGGAGGTCACAGTGACCTGTGGGAGTTTGTCCAGCACCAAGGCTGTGCCCGCATGGCACCACTGAGCAGAGATGTCCTTGGCTGCCCCAGCACGGCTCTCCACACAGTCCCATACCCCTCACCACACCATCCGACATGGGCTTACCTCAAATACAAACATTAAGCTGAAAGTCCTCCAAGGTTTTTAGACCTTCTTTCTCCTCTCCTATGGTAGACCTTGGATCAGACCCTATGGGTCCTGGTAGAAGCAGGGCTTATTACTCAAACCACATACCACTCTTCTAAAGAGGCTCTTGGTGTCTCCTCAGAGCGACCTGCCAGCAATAAAGGAGAAGTACCAGCAAATGTACAAGAAGTCATTAGCTGAAGCTGTCCGGTCCGAAACCTCTGGGGACTTCAGAAAGTTGCTGCTGGCTGTTTTGCACTAAAAAGCCATTAAGAATGAAGAGGCATGCTGAGCAGCCACCTCTTGATTAGTTTCAAAAATAGCATCCAAAAAATGTGGCATTAGCACAAAGAAAAAAAATCCAATTTATTTTCTTTCCAGCTAGGAAATGTGTTGCCAAGAAATGCTGGATGTGAGGTTTATGTTATGGCTATCTCGCCAAATGTCCTTAAGCAATAAAGACATGTTAAAAAAACTAAATCTAAATTGACCTCTTTGTGTTTGCATATGTGGAGGAATCTTCTGTCATTGTTTTTTCTGGGTAGATTTTCTGCCTTTCTGTCATTCTTAAGATTATCCCTGTTCTTTCCCCAATTCAAAGGGTGCCATGTCATGCCATTACGGTCCTGCCAAGAGAAAATGGATAGGAATTTCTTCTCAGCCCATTATTTCAGCTCTTTAAATAACCTAAGGGCTGTGAATTAATGATTTAAGATGGGCCCTGATTAAAATCCTGCTGTCAATGGGGAAGGTCAGAGTGATTTCCCTGTCTGTGAGTTGTCCTCTCAGAATAGTCACCTCCTAATTTGTCCCAGGAAGGAGATAAGGACTTGCAGTCCCCATTGACACCTCCTGGGATACGGTGCAGGAGCACAGCTGGGGAAGAGACGGGGCTTCATGAGGTAGATTTGTCAGGAAGGGAAATGCTGTTCCCACAGAGGCAGATTTGGGGCTCAGGACAGCTGCATGGTCTCCATCCTTGGAGGTTTCCAAGATCTGACTGGATAAAAACCTGAATAACCTGGTCTGATCTCAGGGCTCACCCTGCTTTGTTGAACTAGAGACCACTGGAGGTCCTATCATATGAGAGAAGATGTAGATGAAAAATAATAAGACAGGGCCTGACAAATAAGAAGAGACAGAACAGTCTGGGTCAAGAAGATGGACTTGTGGGCACTTCTCCATGTCTGGCCCTTTCTCTCTTTCGAGCGTATTGCTCTGCGAGGAGAAAGGTCTTTCAGACCTAGATCCTCTGGGGTATTGATGGCTGTGTGTCTAATTCCCACTTAAAACAGTATTTCTGAAGCATTGGACCTGTTTCTCCTGCTTGTATCCATGTCACAGCAGTTGTGCCTGGCCATCTTGTTATAGTCTGTAAAGGTGGGACAAAATTAATGGGAGCTGGGAAAGACGAAGAGCTTTTAAGAAGGATTATCTGTGTGTTACACAGGTATAACAGGATGTTCTGGCATTTTAAAGGCCTGATCTCCCTTTGGCAACATTTCTAGCAACCTGAAAATACCAGGGGCAGATCCTGAACCTGAAATGAACCGTCTGATTCCAAATGTGCTTTTATCAACGGCATTTTAATGTATGGACCCAGAAAGAGCGGAGCAGTACAGGATCTGCGTATCTCCTTGTTGCTGTTGCCATGGGGCTCTTGTAACCAGAGACTATAGACAGGATAGATGAATAATCTACTTAGGTGTCCAGTGTTCCTGGTGATATTTTATCCTCCAGAGGTCACACTGTATGTTCAGTCCAAGATAAGCTGGCAGGTACCCATTCTCAAATGATGCAGTTTGAAGAAAAAGCCAGCAGGTGTCTGAAATGCACATGAAGGAGCTGGTTTAGGCAAAGGATTTGTTTTAAAATATTCCAACAAGAATGCCCGAAGCTATATGAGTGGTTTCTGTGAAACCTCTAGAAGCTCAGCACACTTCAAACCCAGCTATGTACTTATTTAATGTGAAGTGCATAACTTTGACAGCCAAATTTATTTTTGCCTGAAGGCTGCTTTAATTAACGCTAGTAGGTCATTCTGACTAAAGAAGGAAGAGTACAATTGCTTTCATCTTAATCTTTCATTCTTTAATTAGAGATTGGCCTGAAACCAAGCCAGGAGCCCACACATCTTCACATCCACTCGTACTGGAGCAAAGTCATTATTGAATTACATGCTATAACTTTCTATCTGGACACAATGCATACAGTGATGGCAGTGACACTTGTGACTGCAACAAGTAGCAGCAGAAGGAAGTTAGCAGACTTGTCTGTGGTCAAGAGGCATATATAACAAAAAAATCTTCACCAGGAGAGTGGTTCAGGACTGGAGCAGATTGCCCAGAGAGGTTATGAAATCTCCATCTTTTAAGATTTCAAAACTTCAACTGGGCAAGTCCCTGAGCAACCTGATCTAACTCTGAGGTTAGCCCTGTTAGTGAGCAGGAGGTTGCACTGGGTGAGCTCCCAGGGGCTCCCCGGCCCAATCTTTCCACGACTTTAGGAGAATTAGGTAGCTTGTGAGCAGGAGACCTGACAGTGCTGTGTGGAATAGTAATCATATTTCTGTTCCCTGAAGTAACACAAAGGACTTCATCTTATTGTCACATATGATCGTCCATCAGTTCCCCATGGTCACACTGGATTCTGTTCACTTTTTAATGTCTTCTCCACTACTTGCTAGCTTGGGAACTTTCATTGCCTTCAGTGGACCTGAGATGTCATCCAGGGAGCTAAAGGACAGGGTCAAAGGGCTGTTTTCTCAGACCAGTGAAGCAAATAGTGAATCCACACAGGGCTCCGGCTGAGTACAGACAGGACTCAGGGAGGATGCTGCAGTGGGGAGTATCAGGATGCATCCAAAACTGGGTGCTTGCTGTGGAGAAACATTTCCTTCACAGATCTGGCCCAGACATCACACATGGAGTTAGGTGTCCAGGTGGTGTTATCAGCTGGGTGAGATACAGACGTGTCTGTTGAGTAGACAGGTCCCTATTCACGCTATCTCTTGACAGTAATTTGCTAGTCTAGACTTATCTTTGCTCTTTCAATGCACATATTAATTATATATATTTACATACATATGTAAATATGCAGTACATAAATCTAATAATTCCCCAACACATTAGTCTTCCTTTCTGCTCCTTTATTTCTCTCCCCTTCAGCTTCTAATAAGCAGAATGGTGCCAGGTGCTCATCTTACCCTCATCAGGTCCCACTGAGGCTGGCCCACACAGCACCCCAGGCAGCGCTGGCTGCTCCCCCAACCTGGGCTGAAGACTGTCACCCCAGCCAGCCACCACTGCTGCCTGGGGCATCTTCCCATCCCTCCAACTAATGGCATCTGATTAATTATGATCCTTATAATTGTCTCTTTTTACAGTGAGGAATGTTAATGGGTTTTGTTCCCTCTCCCATTTTTATGAAGACCATAATAAGGAATATTTTTTCTTGTTCTCCTGTCCATTTAGACTGTGAATTTGGTGAAAGGGATGATCCCTCTCTTGGTAACTGGGGAGGCTAGTGGTCATTGAGGCAGCACATGTAGCACTGACTAAGCTCAGTGAAGTCTTTGCCTTGAACAGTTCATTTTCCTTATCCATATTTGTTCATTTTCATCTAAGTTGTAATAGGATCAGTGTGTGAGTTTTAGAAGTTGTCTGACATCACCAATCTCTGTGCACCTGTCTGCTGGCCGATTGGATTACAGCTTTTTTCCGCTCTGTTGCTTAGCGCATGATAATAGACATTTCATAATTCCATCACATTAAAACATAAGAAGAGCTGCTCTGGGTCAGATCAAAGGTTCAGCCATCCTAATTCCAAAACTGAGCAATCCCAAACACTTAAGAAGAGAGAGCAGAAGGAGCAGGGTGAGCATACAGCACTGCAGCAAAGCGGTCGTTCCTTGGTAGGCATTTCCATTTTCTGGCCATTGATGGAGTTCACAGCAGCAGTTGCAGAAGGTCTCTGTTTTTAACAGCCCTCAATGGCTCCAGCCTCCCTCAAGGGATACGGAGGACCTGCAGCATCGTGTCCCACAGTGCTGCTGGGTCGCGTATCCTGTGAATGAACTCACTTTCCCGTTTGCACATGGTGTTCAGACCTGTCCTCCCAAAAAAGACCACTCAGGCCTGGTTCAGCCAATGTCAGCCAAGGAAATCTGCCTCAAGGGCTCACTCGGGTACAGACTTTCTCCAACAAATTATGCTGTCCCACAGAAGAAAGAGCTCCTCCCTCTCACCAGGGATCACGCCGCAGCAGTAGAGCCATATAGGACATGCTGTTCTAGGATATGCCATGAAAAATGATTTCTGGTTTATTTTTAAAGGAAATCCTAACTAAGCAGTGCTGATGTGTGCGTTTGGTTGGAGATGTGTCTGAAACCATAATTCTGGGAAAGAAAGAAGGGAGAGTTGCACAGCTGGCAGCAGGAGCTTCATTGCTTAGGAGCCTTGGCCCTGAATTGGCAGGGACCTGTGTGGGGACTCGGGAGGGAGCAGTGACCCCCCCGAGAGCTGTGAGCTGTTTAAACAGCACACGCTGTACTCGGGGTTAGTGGGAGTTTGTGTAACCGTGCAAAGCCCTCCAGCCTTGGATCTTCTAAATAAATGCCACATTTATCAGTATCTAAAGCACAAGAATATCCCACCTACCCTTCCCTGACCCCATCAAACAGTGTCATTAGTGAAGTCAGAATAATTTGTTTCTTTAAGGGTTAAAAAAATAATCCACAGCCACTGCCAGAAAGAGGCAGAACTAAACAGGCAGCAAGGAGTTAGAGCCAGAACAGAGATATAAAGCTAAATCAATCATCATGGATTGCAAATGGACCGCAAAGCGAGCATATACATACAGAGCAAGAAAGCAAGCAAAAGGGCGTTTTGTTTGGGTAGCTAATGTTCTTTGGATGAGGAGAGAGAAATTCTGCTTTGAGTTTTTAATGCCACTCTAAATATTTATAGCAAGATCATGGCCAGCTGGTGAGGCAGCGGCAGCAGGGAATAGGGAGGGGAGGATGCACTTTCCCCAGCGCCCCAACAGTCGAGTCCAGTGGCTCCTTCCCTTCCCCTCCCTCACCTCACCTGACTGTTCACACTCACGTGTGTGCACACAGACAGATGGTGCAGGAAGAGAAGATGCCAAAGCCTCCAAAATGGTATGCCAGCCTGACTCCACCCTGTTTTTAACACGGGCCTGGACATTCAGGGTTTTGTCTGGCCATCAGGCATTTTCACCATGTTGTTATGCTGCATTGAAAAGTCTCTGGGAAAGGCCATGTACAGCATGACCCATGATGCAAAGCTGCTGTTTATAGACAAACAGGCTGCTCCCATCCCTGCAGTCTGCTGGGCCACAGACGTGGGGGCAGGAACATATGGAGGACTGCAAGCACCAGCATGACACAGGAGTTGACATAAGGGCACCATGGCTCCCAAAAATCTTCACTCATCTGCCTTGCTGTGACTAGACACAGACATGACTCACTCGTGAGCTTTGGCTTTGAAAGTATGAGAAGGAGTTTTGCTTTAACCTTCTGTTTCCCTGTGGCAGCAATGCTTAGAAATGACATTTTGGATTTAGTCCCATCCCAAAACAAAGGGAGGAATCTCAGTACAGATGAGAGGTCCAATCCAGGTACCCAGACATGGGCAGACAATGCCATTTTTCCTGAAATGCCCAGGAAATTGGCAGGGAGCTGGGACACATCACACAGGACCTGTTGGAGACCTCTGCAGGGGTCAGCTGGGGTTGTGGAGGGTCTTCTGCTGGCACAAGGTGCTCAACTGATCCCAGCCCCGGGGACAGGTTTAGGCTCATCGTCCCAGATACCTACATGGGAGTGTTAAATATGGATACCTTACATGTGACTGAGGCAGCTGAGCATCCATGAAGACCTGTGCCTGGAATACTGTTCATCTACCCAAATATAGTTGGTACTTACTGGTGACCTGAATAGATCATCAGGCTCAATTGTATTAACTAGACCTCACTGGCTGCCCAAGAAGCTCAGACACCTTGTTCACATGCAGGCATCTGCAGTTAGAGACCTTGTTGAAGTGTCTGCCCGGGGGGGGGGCAATTGCCACCCTGGGACCCACCACCCTGGGACCGTGGTTTCCAGCTTCCTGCACTCCCATCAGCAGCCCACTCCAGTCCTCCCACTAGTCACACTGAGCTTCCTCAAGTCACCTGCTTGAACAGTTCTTTGCTAACAGCTTCAGAGAGCTGATGCTCGTATGCAAAAGACCACAACCTGGTTATTTTCTATTTGAAATAGCAAGTGGCACCATAAAGATAAATTACTCTAAGACTGAATTTTGTTCTCTGCTTGGCAAAGGCAGCCAGGTTCTCCCTGCCCATCTTGGGGCAACCTTGCTATGGCATCAGCATCTCCCCCTAGACTGCAATGGGCCAACACTCCCTAGATCTCTCCATGAGGTGGAGACACGGTCCATCCCACCAGGGTCTCTGGGAGCCCTTCTCTCTCCATGAAAGCACGGTGACAGTGCATTACCTAGCGCGAAGCATTGCAGACTGTTTACAGGCTTCTAGAGTTCCCAGGCACTTTAGGACAGGATCCCGCCGCTGTTTCCAAAGGGACAGCCAGGACTTTTATAAGTGAACTTTCCTCTCTCGGTCTATTTATTGTATATAAACATTTGCCAGAAAAACACCACCCGGGCATGCTCAGTGCCGGCCAGGTCATTGCAAAAGGGGACGGCGGCGTCACATGCGATAGCAGCGAGAAGCCCGTGTGCGCCTATTCTTAGCGCAGGAATGTATACAATGCCCCACCGCCGCGCCGCTCCTGCGCACTGCTCCCCAAAGCGGCAAAAGTGACTTCAGAATAAACACGGCCAGAAATCACCCTCTATGAATCACTTTACCTACTGAAAGAAACGTCCTGTGGGTTTATAGGTTTTTATCCAGGCTCTAGCCATGGAAAATCTCAGCAGAGAATAAACGGCAGAGAGTAAGTGCATGCAGTGAAGGACAACAGAAGGTAAACGTTTCTACCCTTGGGTTTCACTGCAGGTCGAGCTGTTAGCCATGACAAGAGATACTCATCGTATTGTTCTGCCTGGCACTTAACTTAGTCATTGTGTGTCTGATTAACATTAAAAAAAAAACAAACCACAGCTAAGCAGAGTTAATAAATAACCATTTTAATGCAGATTCCCAGTCTCTAGGGTTTCGTTTGCCCTGCTGCAGAGTTCAGCTCTGCCAGATTTACATTCTTTGGGAGTGACTAACTCTAGGGGAAAGAGGCGCGAGCTACTAAACTGCTAATACTTTAAAATAGTGAATAAATGTCTAAGCGCATTTATTCGACGCGATTAAAACGAACAAACCAATTGCTTCAGCCGTCCAGCTTTCATCCCAAATCAGTGAGATGACTTCAGTGCTTTTGCTTGCCAGGGACACAGGCAGTGCTGACCTCAGAGCTGCAACCTATCTGATAACTTTATGAAAATTTTGAAGAGTCTTAGCGACCTTTTAGCTTCTTTATTATTTTCCCACTGTGCTTAACGCATGTTCCATTTTTATGCATTGCAGTGAACGGATATTTAGAGCAACATCAAAGTCCTGATCTGTTCCCTTGAAGCTGGATATTTCAATAAAAGCTGCTAAGAATTTGGGGTTTTTTCCTGCCAAGTCCTGAATTTATCTCTCTCCTATTTCGCTATGGAGGAGGGATCCGCTGAGGAGTTTCTCTTCAAAGACCAGGACTTCTCCTCCGAACTGCTGAGGCAGCTGAACGCTCTGCGGCAGAGCGGGATGCTGACTGATGTTACTCTCTGCTCCAAGGGCTTTGAAATCCCCTGCCACCGAAATGTGCTGGCTTCTAGCAGTCCCTACTTCAAGGCGATGTTCTGTAATGACTTCAGAGAGAGTCACCAGGCTAAAGTCATCCTGAAGGGCATCGACACCGAGATTTTGGATCAGATTATCCTTTATGTTTATACAGGGGAGATTCTTATATCCGCTGAGAATGTCCTGCGCCTGTTGGAGACGGCCTCCATGCTGCAGTACACGAGGCTGTTTGAGGCCTGCTCTGCCTACCTCCAGGACAAGCTGACTCCTGACAACTGCCTGAGCATGATCAGGCTGGCAAAGATCTTGAACTGCCAAAGCCTGAATAAAAAAGCCAAGGCTATGGCTTTGAAATGCTTTCCTGAGGTGGCCTCTTCTGAGGACCTGAAGGACCTTTGTCCCTTGGAGCTCATTGATTACCTTGGGGATGATGAGCTCTGTGGGGAAGAGGAGCAGGTCTTTGAGACACTGATGGTCTGGATCCGACATGACCTCCAGGCAAGGCAAGGCTACATCCAAGAGTTGTTCAAGAAGGTCCGGCTTCAGTACGTCCACCCAACTTTCCTTTTCCACTTCATCGCCAACGACTCCCTCGTTCAGTCCTCACCCACTTGCAGGAGCATCCTTGAATCAGCCCGGAGACACATGTTTTGCTTGTACAGCACCAATGTGCCTGACATCAAGCCCATGTCGCATGTTCCTCGCAGATACTCCAACCAGGAGTTCCTCATCATCATTGGTGGCAGGAAGGACAGCCAGCAGACCACGAGGGATGTCTTGCTCTATGATGGCAAGACCAACCAATGGCTAAGCCTGGCCAAACTTCCCATGCGTCTGTACAAAGCCTCTGCAGTGAGCTTACACAGCAATATTTATGTGCTCGGAGGGATGTCTGTTGGCAATAAGAAAAGCCCAATCAGTGATAATATTTACATTTACTCCCTCAAACTCAATCAGTGGAGGTTGGTTGAGCCCATGTTAGTTCCACGTTATTCCCACAGAAGCTTGGCATACAAAAATTATATATTATCTTTCGGTGGAATTGGCAAAAACCAGGAAATTCTGAATTCTGTGGAAAGATACGATAGCATCTACAACACCTGTGAGAGCATGGCAAATATGCCTGTTGCTGTCCTTCACCCTGCTGTTGCTGCCAAAGATCAGAGGATCTACCTCTTCGGTGGAGAAGACATTATGCAAAACCCTGTCCGACTGATTCAGGTACTGGTCAGTCCTGCTTGTCGTGCAGTTCATCACCCTCCTGAGGAAATCAAACCCCACCAAAAACTTTACTGTGAGCTGCAGCAAGAGGCAGGATGAGTTGACACATGGCTCCAGGGAAGTCTTGTGTGTAAGGAGCATTGCAACTCTTTCATTTTCCCCTTCAAGTGTTTTATAGGCACAAGCCCCAAAGTACTTCTTTGGGTGTCCATCAGCCCTGCTGCTGGCAGGCACTGGGGCCAGGGCTGCTGCAAGCAATGCTATGGCAGGCAGTGGCCAACCCCCATGCCTGCAGGCAATCTCACTGAAATCAGTGCTTTCTGCTCAGCAGCCGAGCTGGGATCTTGGCCGCGCACCTGCTCACTGACAGCGAAAGCAAAGATTTGTGATCATTAGAGCGATTAGATTCTCCCTCATCAAAGGGCCAGAACTTAAACTGACAGTTATTTCGTATAAACAGTTGTGTTAGAAATGTGGCTGCTGCCACATGCTGCTGGCTCTCTGCCTGTTTTCAGCGGTTAAGCTCTATTAGGAGGAAAAAAATACATGAAATCCTTTCTTATCTGATTTAATGCTTTAGCAATGTTGTAGTGAAACTTTCTCCATGAGTGTTTTCCATTGGTTTAGGTGTTTTAACTATGAAGGATCATTAAAGGCTAAGATGGCAGCCAGCACATGAGCAATACTTCTTTACAGTGATAATGCTCTTGATTATCAGGTGGAAGGAAGTGTGTTTATCAGTTAGTGGGGAGACATCCTGGAGATATTTGCTATATTAAGAAGTGGATGATGTGATATAAAAGTTTGCATCACCCAGATAGAGACAACTGAATGATCTTCATCTGGCAACAGCTCTTTTTCTCACATAAATTGATGACTTAGATATCACCCCAAGTCCCATCAACAAGTCCCTTTGTGAACCTGAGTACATATCAACCACCAGCATGAATATAGGTGCTGGGCAAACATGGGGGCTGCCAGCAGAGCTGGGTGAAGTTGAGGTTGGTTTGCCCAGAAAATTGCTACAGCTAAGGAAGGGACACACAGAATAACTGGAAAATGAAATTAAACAGTGTGTACTTTGGGAGAGCATTATCCAGGAGTTACAGTGATTTAATGCAGGGATTTACAGCTGAGAAGCTGCCTTAGTGCGTGTGCTAGCATCTCCAAGCAGACAAGCCTGGAGAACTGGAATGCTTTCCAAGGGGACATATTAGGGAAAAAAGTGGGTAAATTCTCGGATTTACAGCCGTTCAAGCCAGAGGACTGTATTCATTAGGACAAAATAAAAAGCAGAAGTTCCTCTGTAATTACAATTGCCAGTTAAAATGCAACACATGTATCTTTATTTATTTGTCAGGTTTACCATGTCTCCAGGAATACATGGTTTCGAATGGAGACCAGAGTAGTGAAGAATGTCTGTGCACCAGCTGTCGTGATTGGAGACCAGATTATCATCGTAGGTGGTAAGGACTCTTTTGTCCTCCCTCCTGCCTGCCCCTGCCCAGCATCTGCAGGATTTCACAATCTTCCTGCTTCGGGTGCTCGCTAAAAAAGCATGTGGATCTGGGAAGGAAAGGAGGAGTGTGTCCAGCCTCCATACACATCTCTCATGGGGTCTCATGGCCATGGAAGTGGGGACAAGTTCTCCACAAGGTACTCTCTTACTCCAAGTAGCAGGACCTCAGTGAGGGGAAACTGAGGAAAAGCCAATGCAAGTTACTGTTGTATAGAAGAAAGGAGGAGGCCAAGGACATAGGAGTCCTGCTCCTCCCTTGCTGACACAGTCTGGCCCTCCCTGACTGCTCTTCTTGGAAGGACAGAGAGCACAGTTACCACAGGCCCTTGGAAGGTTTGTTGGGGTGGATGGGCTACAGGGCTATGAAGGGTCAATCAGTCCTGTAGCTGTCTCCTGTGGGTAATTGTGAAATGAATGGAGCTAAATCCAGTTGACGACCAG